CGCTTCGCCTCGCCTCGCCTGCAGCCGGCGCCTCGCCCGCCTTACCTCGCCCGCCTGGTCGCCGCCGCCGCCTCTTCCCGTGCGGCCGCCGGAAGTGACGCCAGCGCAGGCGCAGACGGCGCTGCCACGTGACCGTCACGCAGGGCGGAGACGAGGAGTGGAGACGGGTTGGGGTCAGTGGAGGACGGGGAGGTCCAGTACGACTGGCTATTGGAGGCTTGGGAGGACCTGGGACTGGGAACACAAGGGCAGGGGAGACCTGGGGAGGGGAATACGGGGGTGTGTGAAAGGGGGACTCGGGGACAAGGAACACGGCGGGGAGGACATGGGGAGACCTGGGAAAGGGAACGTGGCGCAGGGAGGGGGGCACAGGGGGACAATGGAGAGATACGGGAATGGGGAGAACCAGGGACATGAGAAGACCTGAGGACTGGAGGGACAGGGGACACGAAGGGGGTGGTGAGGAAGGATGGGGACATGGGATGGAGCACATAGGGAGACTGGGAGACATGAACATGGGGAGACAGGCTAGGGAGGCAGGGAGATGCCAGGTGAATGAGGGGAGGGCATGGAGTGGGTAGGGGTGGGAGGTCTAGGGAGAGAGCAGATGGGGGACACCAGAGGTGTGGAGACAAGGGGTGACTGGGAATGAAGGGGTTTCCAAGAGGCTCTGGCACCAGCCCTGTGCTGCCACGGAGCCCAGTAATCAGGCAATCACCACTGGCTTGGGGATGACATTTATTGAAAAAGTAAAAAGTGTCACGATAAAAAATTGACCTAGAGAAAAAGCCAGGCCGAAGACATAGGTATAGGGGCCATAGGTATATTGCGCCTGAGGATGAGAGGCTGGAGCCCAGGGCAGAGCAGTCTAGTCCACGCTGGCTCCCTTGAAGAGCTCCACCAGGTCCTTGAAGTCAGGGTCGATGAGGTCAGAGGGCAGGTCACCATCATCATTAGCTGCTTCTCTGTCTGCCCCCAGGGAAATGAGGTACCTGGGTGCAAAGGGCACCCTGGTTGAGGCATGCTCAGCCCTGCCCCAAGGCTGAGGGTGAGAGTCCTGGGGTCACCTGTTAGTTTTTCCTGGCAGGGTGAGGAGGAAGAAACCAGAGCCCTTGGCAGCTGTGTTGGTGTTTCCAGTTTGCTATAGCGCAGCAAAGGGTGAAAACGGTGCTAGAGCCCTTGGAGCTGTTGGCTGCACTGACAGGGCCAGCTTTTAGGGGGCTCACATCCTGGAGACCGGGTGAGGCTTACAGGGTTGGGGTGCAGCCTCTGCTCACCTGCTTTCCTGGCTCACCTGGCTATATCAGGGTACCCATCGCTGCAGGCAATGTGCAAGGGCGTCCAGCCTGTCTCATCACGCTGGTGAATGTCTGCTCCATATTTGACCAGCAGCTTCACGCACTCTAGGTTTCCAGAGAGCACAGCTTCGTGCAGAGCAGCCAGGCCTGGGCAGGGGTCAAGGCTGGAGTCGAACTGGCCTTCCCCTGCCACCCCACACACCCTTGGCCAGTTGCTCTGATTGTCTCACCTGAGGGGTGGATGGTATCCAGGGAGACCTTCCGAGTCCTGATGAAGCGCCCCACCTGTTCCAGGTCACCCTGGCGGATGTGGTCCAAGAAGAGGACATCATTAGGAAAGTGGACACTTCTATAGGACATCAGCCGCCGGCGCCGCTGCCGGGGACTGTAGCGGGAATAGCGCACAGTTTTGCTGGGCATCTTAGGGGGTGGGGGTGGGCTGCCCCTCTGGGGACCCTGCTGCGCTGAGGTGAGCAGTGAGCCAGCCAGGCCAGACCAGGTCAGTGTGCAGGCTCTTCTATCTGACCGAGACCTTGCTCCCAGCTTATATAGGCCTTGAGGAGCTATATAAAGCTGCGTGGTCATGCTTGCCGATGCAAAGGGCTGAAACCGAGCTGTTCCCTCCCTCCCTGCACACAGGATCATGTTTGGTGTCTCATCTTTCAGCCCACCTGTTGTCATGTCCGGCCAAAGGGGTCAGATCCTTCTTGGCCACCACTCCCAACCCCACAGCTAGACCTAGAAGGTGCCTCACAGAAGGCTGGAGGAGGACTAGGCTGGAGCCCTTGAGGAAGGCCGCAGTGTGGGGTCAAGGGCAAGGCAGGGGCCGAGGGTGTGAAGAGGGGACCTGCAGGTCGCTCGCCTCTACCTGCCTGTAGAGGTGAAGGGCTGCCTTTCCCTTGCCCTGTCCCCTTTCATTGGGCTTCTAGCCCCCTGGAGCAGCTTTCCCAGAACAGCCACCATTGCTGCGAAGGCAGGGACCTGGGCCAGTCCAATGTGGCCCCACTAAGTGCCTCCCCCTCCTCCGGATGTCCCCATATATACACCTGCACACATCTGCCCACCTCTTTCACCTGGTTCCAGGATCTGCAGACACATTGCTAAGGACACATGCTCATGCTGAAGGTGGCACCCATTCTGCACTGCAGAGATGGAGATTGTCCTGGGAATGTCCCCCTTCTGTCTCACCCAGCAGGATCCCATGCTAGCTGCCCTCACTTTTTTAGGGGGGATACTGGGAATCGAACTCTGGGCCTTCTGCTTGCCAGGCAGGCATACTGCCTTTACTTTTGCAGTAATCACAACTGAGGTCAGTCACACTGGTGCCTGAGAAAGGTTGATGGGTGGGCCAGAGGAGCCCAGGAACAGGGCAGTGGGGTTGGGGGCAGTCCTATGGGGCCCCTGCAGTGCTGCCCAGTGGCCCTGAGACTTGCTGAGCTGTTCTGGCAGAGCACTACAGGTTGAAGATTCAAGTCTGTGTGACTGAGGCCTTGGCATGGGCAGGGCAGGTACCCCCAGGCTCAGGGAAGAGTTCATTTTAACTCTTTCCAACTCCTAGAGTTCTCTGTTGGCCTTGGGGCTCCATCTCCACATGGCTTGTACTGTGTCTGTGTCGAAATCTCTGTTTATGAGGACACCAATCTTAAGAGGACTTGGTCTGTTTCAGTATCACTTTATCTTAATGAGATACCAGCAATGGGCCCTATATTGGAGTAAGATCACATCTGGAGGTATTGAGGAATAAATAGGAAATTAAGGGGACAAAGCTCAATTCACTGCCCTGGCAAGATGCTCCATATGGTTGTTGGAGGCCTCAATGAGCTCAGAAGTCAGATTGGCTGGCTGCTTCTCCAGAGTGGGAGAAGAGGCCTGGTGGTGAGTGGCAGGTTGCACACTGGTCTCTGGCCAAGAAGACCAAATCAAGGGTATCAGCTGGGTGTGGTGGTGCACATGTGTAATCCCAGCACTCAAGAGACTGAGGTGGGAGGATCATTGCAAGTTCATAACCAGCCTGGGCTACAAAGTGAGCTCAAGACCAGCCTGAACTGCACAGCTAGACCCTGTCTCAAAAAGACAGAAAAAAAACCACGCCAGGCGTGGTGGCGCACACCTGTAATCCCAGCACTCAGGAGGCTGAGGCAGGAGGATTGTTGCGAGTTTGAGACCAGCCTGGGCTACAAAGTGAGGTCAAGGCCAGCTTGAACTGCATAGTAAGACCCTGTCTCGGAAAGACCAAAAAATAAAATAAAATTTTAAAAAAGTCTTGCTGGATAAAGCCACCTCAAGCACCTTGTCCGGGACCAGTAAGACAGCCCCTTCCAGCAGTGACCAGGCCTCAGCTGCTTAGGGCTGGGGAAGCGCATCAGGCTATCCTGTGTGGGGATGCAAAGCAGGAGCTTCTGGCCAGTCCTGCTAACGAGAGCAAGAATGTGCAGGATTGCGGGTGGTGGTGGTGCATGTCTATAATCCCAGCACTCGGGAGGCTGAGGCAAGAGGATTGTTAGGAGTTTGAGACAAGCTTAGGCTACAAAGTGAGTTCAAGGCGAGCCTGAACTACAGAGTGAGACCCTGTCTCAAAAAGACCAAAAGAAAAAAAGAGTGTGCAGAATTATGGCTGTGGACTTTTGGTTTGGATCAAAGCTACCAGATCTGCTGAAAGGAATTTGCTTGACTTTTGTCCCATAGGACACTGGGACTCTTTCTGGAGCATCTCACCTCTGGCACTTCCCAGAGGAGCCAGCTGTGAGTGGCCCACACCTCTAGACCTTGGGACAAAATGGGTATTTCTACAGCTTTGTCTGGGATTCTTCTCAGGATAAGATTTCTTTGAGACAGGAGCTTGCTATGTAGTCCAGGCTGACCTCGAACACATGATAGTCTTCTTTCCTCAGCCTCCCTGAGTGCTGGGATTTCAGGCATATGCCACAATGCCTGGCACTTAGGAGCAACTTTTTTTTTCTTTTTC